ACCCGCTGTGACTCACCTGCTGTAACTCACCCGCTGTAACGCTGTAATTCACCTGCTGTAATTCACCTGCTGTAACTCACCCGCTGTAACTCACCCGCTGTAACTCACCTGTCAGCTGGTACCACTGTTTATTAACAAACATCCTCAGCACAACCTGATCAAAGTCTTCAAAACAGCTTTTAATTTGAAGAAATCTTCTGTTTCAATTTTAATTTGAAAGCTTCTTTTACTTCCACCTGAAACATCAGCTGCTTCCATCACTTCTCCTGAAGTTTAACTGAAACGTTAACAAACATATTTTCAATTCAAGTGAATTATTGTTTCCTCGATCGTGCCGTCGGTTCGATGTCGTCATGACTTGTACTCGTCATGTTCATCGAGCTGCTCAGAGCAGCTTGACCCACTTTTTTTCATAGTTGGCGAAATTTGTTCTGAGGAAAACTGTGGAAGACGAGCGGGACAGTCAGAGTTTAAAGAGACACAACGATAACGTGTGACCATGAAGATAAACTCCTATAAAACTCCTGTTTCTACGTCTCAGCAGGTTTAACGTGTCTTTTGTTCATGAACTAGCTTCAAACCGTCAGTGCTGATGTTGGTACTCCTGCGTCTCCTCCTGCAGAGTGAACAGTTCGTACGAGGCTCTGACTGGAGGTTCGAGCATTGAGGGCTTCGAGGATTTCACCGGAGGAATCGCAGAGAGCTACGACCTGAAGGAGGCTCCACCCTCTTTGTTCAACATCATGTGGAAAGCTCTGAAGCTCGGCTCGCTGCTTGGCTGCTCCATCGACGTAAACATTTAAATTTTTGTTTAAACACGACTCACTGACAAACCTCAACACTCCAGGAGCCACGATCCCTGTTTATGTTTAACGAGAAGAGTCATGTGGCACATGTACACTGAGCTTATTGTTCATTAGCTGATTTAGCTTGTTAGCTCTGTGTTGATCAGCTCGTTCAGACTGAATAACTTGAACTGAATAAATAACTTGTGAGTAAACATTGACTTAAATCTCTGACATCATCACTTTAATCTCTGACATCATCTCTCTGTGAAGTCATGTGATCGTTGTTCATGCTTCATGTTTGTCAGATTTCCAGCTCGTACGAGACGGAGGCGATCACCGGTCAGAAGCTGGTTAAAGGTCACGCCTACTCAATCACTGCAGCTGAGCGGGTGAGGAATTATGGGAAATGCTCAGACAGCGGGACACTCTCAAATAGTCTGTGGGCTCATTAACCGTCACTGGTTCTGCAGGTTCTTCACCGTGGTTCTCCTGTGGAGCTGCTGAGGATCAGGAACCCATGGGGTCAGGTGGAATGGACCGGAGCCTGGAGCGACGAGTAAGCACACCATCTGTCCACGTGTCCATCACATCTGTTTGTCCATGTGTCCTTCACATCCACCTGTCCACGTGTCCATCACATCCGTCTGTCTTCTTTGTCTGTATTTGTTGGTCAAACTGAAGATGTGTTTTTTTGGTTCGTCAGGTCGGAGAAGTGGGACGGAGTTCAGCCAGAGGAGAAGAGGAAGTTGGATTATTGTGCTGAAGATGGAGAGTTCTGGTGAGGACAGACACAATCTTCTTCTTCTTCATCTTCTTCTTCATCTTCTTCTTCATCTTCTTCTTCTCTGTCTGCAGGATGTCCTACACAGACTTCCTGTGTCAGTTTTCCCGCCTTGACATCTGCAACCTGACACCCGACACGCTGACGAGGGACGAGGTCGGTCGATGGAACTGTTCTGAGTTTGAGGGCGTGTGGAGAGTTGGCTCCACCGCTGGCGGCTGCAGGAACTACGCCGGTACTAACTCCTGCTTCTCATCTCAAATATAAATAAGCATCTTTTAGTTTTCGTCAGATTTAAGAGAAGAAAAGAATAAAGTTCACAGGTTGAACACGAGTCCGCAGCGTGGCGGCCATCTTCTCTGCTCAGCTTGTCTTCATCACGTCTGACCTCTGAATCATTTCTTCATTCAAAATCAACCTTGTTGTTGTTTTTACTGATTTAAGACTAAATTAAAAACTAAAACAGTGACGACGTCATTTCTCAAGAACATCTGGACAGAATTTCTTTGCACTGATGAGATTTCAGACGTCAGGAACATGTGGAGGAACTGTTTCCTTTTTTAAACCTGACATCATTTCTCTCTGCAGCCACTTTCTGCTCAAACCCTCAGTTCTTTATCCGACTTGATGAAGTGGACGATGACCCTGACGACGGCGAGGACGGCTGCACCGTCGTGATCGGACTGATGCAGAAAGACGCTCGCAGAGAGAGACGCTTCGGACGAGACCTCAACACCATTGGTTTTGCCATCTATCAGGTGCACACACACAAAGACTCACACACAGACACACTCAGTGTGTACTTCCCGTGTTTGATTCCGTGTTTGATTTTGTGTCTTGTGTTTCCTCAGGTTCCTGATGAGGTGAGAAACAAACAGGAAGCTGTCACTGTGTTCACGTGTGGTACAAAGTACATTTATCTGGATACTGTATTCACAGAGAATCTTTACTGGCCTTGCTTTACAGTGTATGATGCAACACGACATGTTGACGTGTCAGGACGACATGATTCTTCTTTTGTGGTCAGTTTAAAGGTCGCAGTAACGTCCACCTGGGCCCGGACGTCCTGCTGAGGATGGAGTCGGTGGCTCGCAGTAAAAACTTCATCAACTTGAGGGAAGTGTGTGACCGCTTCAAACTGCAGCCGGGAGAATATGTCATCGTCCCGTCCACCTTCGAGCCGCACCGCAAAGGAAGCTTCGTCCTGAGGGTGTTCACAGAGAAGGAGGCTCGCAGCAGGTGAGACATGACGGACATGAACCGGTGGTTCTTCTGTAGCGACTGACATCTTGTCTCTGCTGTTTCAGACCGATGGAGGAGGACGTAGACGTCAACATCGATGAGGTTTAAGATCTTTCTTTGTAGAAACTTTCTGTTTCGACCCAAACTGTGAGAAGAGACAGAGAAAATATTGATATTTTGATCTAATTTATACTTGAACTGTGTTCCAGCCCGATGTTGGACAGAATGACGTGGACCCTCACTTCAAACATCTCTTTGTTCAAATCTCAGGAAATGTAAAGAAATATAATTGAATATAATAACTTCCTATAATGATAACTTCTACTTCCTATTCAGATAAAACTTCTCACGTCTGATTTTCTTCTGCTTCAACAGGACTCCGAAATTTCAGCCTTCGAGCTTCAGCAGATTCTGGACAAAGTGATCGCTCAGAGTGAGAAGTTTCACCAAGTGACAGTTTTCAGTGAAATAAGGAAAATATTTCATTAGTCTTTTGTTATTTGAAAGAAACAGTTCAGGTTCGGACGTTGTGTTCAG